TGAGGTGGATTGTTTGGGCCCAGGAGGAGCTGTGGTTACGCCACTGCACTCCAACCTGGGTGACAGAGAAAGACCCTGTCTCAAAAAAAAAAAAGAAAAACAAAAATCCTCTCAATTGTGATATTTATATAGAGAGGGTATCTCTTACCCCCTCTAGAATTTCATTACAATTTTGCAGTACAGTAATAAGAATATGAAAGGGATTGATGTCTGTGTGGTAAGGGTAATTAAAGGGGTATGTGTTTATATTTTCCTTCTTTGAACTGCTTCCAGAAATATTTTTGTGTCTGTCATAACTGGGAGGATGAAACCAAATTAGAGTTTTACTGTATTTACATGTTTTTGGTCTAGGAAATCATATGTATTGCACGACAACTTAGTATGATGGTATATACTTTTATTTATTTGTGTAAAATATGTATACTTCTGTAACTTTTCCTTTCAACTGTTTCATAAAATCTAAAAAAAAATCTGAACAACTTGTCACTGATAATCAATTTAAACTTGCTTACATTACAGCTTTCATTTTTCGTTTGTTTGGTTTTTTGAGATGGAGTCTTGCTCTGTTGCCCAGGCTGAAGTGCAGTGGTGGGATCTTGGCTCACTGCAGCCTCTACCTCCCAGATTCAAGCAATTCTCCTGCCTCAGCCTCCCAAGTAGCTAGGATTATAGGCACCCACCACCATGCCTAGTTAATTTTTTTTGTATTTTTAGTAGAGATGGGGTTTCACCATGTTGTCTCAAACTCCTGACCTCCTGACTCCGCCCACCTCAGCCTCCCAAAGTGCTGGGATTATAGGCATGAGCCACTGTGCCTGGCCACCTACAGTTTTTATTAGAACTCCTTGGAATGCTATAGAAATTTAAGGAGAGATTACTATCATCATCACCATTTGGAGAGGCGTATATTAGTGGGTGAATATAAAAAATGTTATTTGAAAATATTCTAATTTATTAAAAGTGACAAGTTACTAGTTACTTCTTATTCATCCTTAGGTTTACAAAGCAAGTATCTTCAACCCTCTTATCAGCGCAAATAACAAAAGAATTTCAAACATATGTAAAATAAACGGAATAAGTTGGAAAAGTCAAGTATAGCAATCTGACTCACTTTAACTTTGCAAAACTGCTTATCATTCTACCTGATTATATAAATAAATTTAGTCTGAATGGCCTATCTGCTGTGCTTGTGAGCAATATTTTAGTTTATAAAAATCCACATTATTCATTACATGAATTACTTTTTTCCTGCTTCTTTACATTTCTCTTCCTGACTTCTCCATACTATTTCAAAGTGACAAGATTTAAAATATTTTACAAATCTTTTAGTGGGGTTTGGCTTTTACAAACTGTTGTAAAAAGAGCATTTCAATTCAATTCAAACAGTTTTTGGGAGGCTGTCACCTACCAGAGACTATACAGTCTGCTGGAGATAAAGGGATGGGTATAAAAGTTCTTTGCACCATGGAACTCAGTCTAGAGAGAAAACAGATATGACTGGTTTTTTAATGTATTCATTTCTTTAACAAGCACTTATATCGCTTTTACTATGTGCTAGATACTATTCTAAGTAATTTGAAAGTATTAACTCATGTAAGTAATTACATACGATGGCGTTTCTAAAGAGGAAAGTGATCATTTTTATTTAGATTTCACTATAATTTAGTAATAGGGAATGCTAGAAATTTGGCATGTGAGGGTAAGCATATAGCATTTCTTTCTTATTCTATCACATCTTCAGAATGTGGAACTTGGAACAGAGAGTAATTGGATCCTTTATACCAGAAGGGCAATGCTTAGTTGTGTCATGATCATCTGAATCTTTAGCAGTGTATTAGTCCATTTTCATGCTGCTAATAAAGACATACCCAAGACTGGGAAATTTACAAAAGAAAGGTTTAATTGGACTTACAGTTCCATGTGGCTGGGGAAGCCTCAAGTCATGGTGGAAGGCAAAGGGCACATCTCATATGGTGGTAGACAAGAGAAAAGAGCTTGTGCAGGGAACTCCTTTTTTATAAACATCAGATCTCATGAGATTTATTCACTGTCATGGGAACAGCATGTGAAAGACCTTCTTCTGTGATTTAATTACCTCCCATTGGTCTCTCCCACAACATGTGGGAATTCAAGATGAAATTTGGGTGGGGACACTCAAACCATATCATTCCGACCCTGGCCCCTCCCAAGTCTCATGTCCTCACATTTTAAAACCGATTATGCCTTCCCAACAGTCCCCCAAAGTCTGAACTCATTTTAGCATTAGCTCAAAGTCCACAGTCCAAAGTCACATCTGAGACAAGGCAAGTCCCTTCTGCCTATGATCCTGTAAAATCACAAGCAAGTTAGTTACTTCCTAGATGCAGTGGGGTTAGTGGCATTGGGTAAATACAGCCATTCCAAATGGGAGTAATTAGCCAAAACAAAGAGGCTACAGGCCCCATGCAAGTCTGAAATCCAGTGGGGCAGTCAAATCTTAAAGGTCCAAAACGATCTCCCTTGACTCCATGTCTCACATCCAGGTCACACTGATGCAAGAGGTGAGTTCCCATGGTCTTGAGCAGCTCTGCCCCTGTGGTTTTGCAGGGTATAGCCCCCCTCCCTGCTGGCATTGAGTGTCTGCAGCTTTTCCAGGTACATGTTGCAAATTGACAATGGACCTACCATTCTGGTGTCTGGCGGCCCCCTTCTCACAGCTCCACTAGCTGGTACCCAAAGGACTTTGTGTGAGGGGGCTCCATCCCCACATTTCCCTCCTGTACTGCCCAAGCAGAGGTGCTCCATGATGGCCCTGCCTCTGCAGCAAACTTCGACCCTGGGCATCCAGGCATTTTTCATACATCTTCTGAAATCAAGGTGGAGGTTCACAAACCCCACTTCTTGACTTCTGTGCACCTTCAGGCTCAACACCATGTGGAAGGTGCCAAGGCTTAGGGCTTGCACCCTCCAAAGTCACGGCCCAAGTTCTACATTGGCCCCTTCCAACCATAGCTGGAGCAGCTGGGACGTAGGACACCGAGTCCCTAGGCTGCATACATCATAGGGACCTTCAGCCTCACCCAGGAAACCACTTTTTCCTCCTAGGCCTCTGGGCCTGTGATGGGAGAGGTTGCTTTGAAGACCTCTGACATGCCTTGGGGACATTTTCCCCATTGTCTTGGGGATTCACATTTGGCTCTTCATTACTTATGCAAATTTATGCAGCTGGCTTGACTTTCTCCTCAGAAAATGGGATTTTCTTTTCTATCGTGTTGTTAGACTGCAAATTTTCTGAACTTTTATGTTCTGCTTCCCTTATAAAACTGAATGCCTTTAACAGCACCCAAGTCACATTGTGAATGCTTTCCTGCTTAGAATTTTTTTCCATCAGATACCTTAAATCATCTCTCTCAATTTCAAAGTTACATAGATCTCAATTTCAAAGTTATTTTCTCTATGCCACCAGCCTCTTTGCTTAAAAATTACAAGAGTCACCTTTGCTCCAGTTCCCAAGTTCCTCATCTTCATCTGAGATCACCTCAGCCTGGACTTTGTTGTCCATATCACTATCAGCATTTTGGGCAAAGCCATTCAACAAGACTCTAGGAAGTTCCAAACTCTCCCACATTTTCCTGTCTTTTTCTGAGCCCTCCAAACTGTTGCAGTCTGTGTCTGTTACCTAGTTCCAAAGTCACTTCCACATTTTCAGATATCTTTTCAGCAGTGCCCCACTCTACTGATACCAACTTACTGTATTAGTCCTGATAAAGACATACCTGAGACTGGGCAATTTACAAAAGAAAGGTTTAATTGGACTTAAAATTCCACATAGCTGGGGAAGCATCAAATCATGTTGGAAGGCAAAAGGCACATCTCACATGGCAGCAGACAATGGAAAAGAGCTTGTGCAGGGGAACTGCTTTTTTAAAAACCATTGGCTGTCATGATGCCTGTTCACTATCATGAGAACAGCACAGGAAAGACCTTTCCCCATAATTCACTTACCTCCTACCAGGTCCCTCCATAACACATGGGAGTTCAAGATGAGATTTGGGTGGGGACAAAGCAAACCATATCAAGCAGTTTTGTCTCTATTGGTTCTGGTTAGTATAACCCAGTTTTGTTCATATTGACTTGGAGCAGTCTTTTTCTTTTGTTCTTTTTCCTTATTTAACCTGATTGTTATTGTTGCTGTTGACTGTTTCCATACTGTTTTGAGAGAAGTTAATAAATAATACTTCTCTTCAAAATTTGCTTGCTAATACCTGTTTCATAGAGATTGTCTTGCATATGTTACTTTCAAAATGACAATTTAAAAGTATAACTTTACTTTGAGTAGTCTTAGGAAGAGTTTTTGTTATTTTAAGCTCCAAATCTAATTTTGTCCTTTAAAAGTTCATTGAGTTCCCCATTGCTTTTCAAGGAACTTATTCTGGAAACAATGTTATATCCTTAATTGTAAAATTTGTACTGTAGTATTTCAAAAGCTTTTGTATACATTTTACAAATTACAGTTAATTTTGGGGGTTAACCAGAAGTTACTGTAAAAGAAATATCAATGTGTATGCTGCATGTGAATAAGATTCTTACCATGCATTGCAAAGTCTTTTAATTTTTGGACTTCCCTGAAGAAAATGATGTTTTAGTTTCTTTGAGTAATGTAGGAGGCCCCTAGAATAACATTTTTGTAATAAAATTTCCTTAACTACCTAATGTGTTTGACCTTTGTCTTCTTTTTACAAAAAACAAAACCTATCTCTTGGATTGCTCACAGTTAACCAGTTCTACCTTATTGCTTGTCTAGAGTAAGCCCCTTTCCCTCTTGGCTTAGGAGATATACAAGTTCACATCAGTCAGAAATTATCAGTCTGAGTGTTAAGCGAAATTTCAGTTGGTAAAGATTATAACCATACATACGTATTGTCTAATAAATTTGGCCTTTAAAGGAAAAAAATCCTGTATACCAATCATTTGTGGTGGTCTAAAATTGGAAATGTGCCATAAGTATGATTTGTTTTTAGGTCCATACTGTGGAAGTATGACTGTTCCCAAAGAACTCTTGCTGAACACAAGTGAAGTAACCGTCCGCTTTGAGAGTGGATCCCACATTTCTGGCCGGGGTTTTTTGCTGACCTATGCGAGCAGCGACCATCCAGGTATAACAGAAAACTCAACACAAATCTCTAAACCATAACTGTCAAAGAATTCCTTTTGCTATTTATCACCATCCCTGGACATAATTATGGTCTCAGATGCAGAATTAAGATACGAAGGAGAAGGAGGAGCACTGTGTCTTTATAAATGATTTAGGTCTGAACTGAATCATGTTGTAGCACAGGGGTATCCAATCTTTTGGCTTCCCTGGGCCACATTAGAAGAAGGATTGTCTTGGGCCACACATAAAATACACTAACAATAGCTTAAAAAAAATTTGCAAAAATATTTTATAACTGTATTTTAAGAACTTTAGGAATTTGTGTTGGGCTGCATCCAAGGCCATCCTAGGCTGCATGTGGCCCAAGGGGCATGGGTTAGACAAGCTTATTAGCATATTGATCAGTTGACTTACATGGGATAGGATTCATCTCATTTTTCCTAAAATCCTTGGATAGCGCAGCTTTGTGTTCCCCTCCTGACCCTTTTAAGTCCTGGGTATTCTCTCGAGCCCTCTCCCAAACTTCTTCCTAGCTCAGGGGCAAGACTTATCACCAGGGAGCCCCTTCCCAACACACACCAGTGCACCACCAAGGGAGGCATGCACGGTGTATGCAAGATGAAGAAGTCAGTGTCACACAGTGCGATAACTGTAAAGCTGAAACTTGTATGTGAGAGAAGGGAAGGGAAACATGAACACAGATGAGAGAGAGAAGCATGGGCTCCTACCCTGGGCTCTTGTGTTTCAGAGTAATTATGTGCAGCCCACACCCTGTCTGCTTATAGTCACAGAGGTTTCTGCTCTCAGTCCTCTCTGGCAGAAAAGCTCTGGGAATGAGGTGCACCATTCATTTTCCTCTTAGCTAATCAGCTCTGACCAATCACAGCAGGTGCCTGCATGGTCAGTGTTTATCATATGCTGCCCTCAAAGAACTATTACAGTAAGTGTGGGATATTTTGGAAACCATACTATGTTGATCTAAATGCATCGAGATCCACTGTGTCTTAGCCTCACCTCAGCCTCTGTTGCTGAATATTAGTTTGGTTCTGTAAATTACTCTATAGAGCACCTTCTTTCTTAAAATGCTTGATTCTGGTTGACAAAAGCTTGTATGCTGTAGGTTTTCTTTTCAGAGAAGTAAACATTTGCTTCTCTGTCACTGGATACCACTGGCTAAAAGTTGAATTAAAATGTGGGAACCTTCTCTATGAACTATGTTGGGCTTTTGAAATTATTTTGTTCCTGTCAGGGGACATTATACACGTAGTCTTTGTAGGCATGTAGTGGATAGCAAATAACAAGTGTTGCTTTTTTTTTCTGTTGAATATAGATTCTGCTATCATTTACCAGATAATAATGTTGAAAAACCATCATTGGTGGCAGAAAAAAGAAGTGAAAGGAACTCATTAAATACTGGAGACAGTGATTCTCAGTATTTATTTTTTAAAGGAAAATTCTGATAACTACATAGTGAATAAATGCTTTTTAAAAACTCTCTTTTATTTTAAAAGAAAGCTTTGTAGCACGAGTGACCTAGTTTCCATTCTGTTAATTGCAATTATCTTTATTTATGACAGATTTAATAACATGTTTGGAACGAGCTAGCCATTATTTGAAGACAGAATACAGGTAAATATAGGTATCCTAACTGTTGCAGTCGTGTATTGCTGAATATTTTGTTTTCCTTCACATTAAACCAGATATGTTTGTACTTAAAGTTCTTTTAACCATTCATGTTGTAACTAATGAGGAATATTTGAAGTAGTTTCTTATATAGCAGGAGGTCAGCAAACATTTTCTGTCAAAGGTAGATAGGAAATATTTCAGGTTTTCCACATGCAATCTCTGTTGCATTTATTCATATAATCTCTGTTGCTGTTGTATCAAAAAAATATATTAAAAAAAAAAGCAGCCATAGACAATGTATACACTAACAGACATGCCGTGTTTCAATAAAACTTTATTTACAAAAACATCAGTAGGGTGGATTTGGCCAACAGGCCATAGTTTGCTGACTCCTGAGTTCCACTATAGGTCCCATTACCAAACCTAGACTGTATTTTTTTCCTGGCCAGTATTTGGGAATAACTTTTAAAATTCTTTCATTTGGGAGGAGGTGCATTTTGCCTTTATCACGAGAGAAAAACCTGCTGCAAATAAGAAGATGAAGAATTTCAACCCAGCTTTACTTTAACTGGAAACGCTACTTAGCCACTTTGATGTACATTTCCTCATCTATCAAGTAAAACAGTCTAAAGCAGAATTTCTTAGCCTCGGCAGTATTGATATTTTGGGTCAGATAATTCTTTATAGTGCAGGGTTGTCCTGTGCATTGTTAGATATTTAGCAGCATCCCTGGCCTCTGTCTCCCTGGCATCTGTCCTAGCTGTCAGTTGTAATAACCAAGAATGTCTCCAGACATTGCCAAATGTCTCATGGTGGACAAAATTTCCCTCAGTGGAGAACCACTGGTCTAGAGATCCTTGTCAACAACACTAACAAAAACTATGACTTTTAATTTTGAGACAGGGTCTTTCTTCATTGCCCAGGCTGGAGTGCAATGGCATAATCATAGCTCACTATAGCCTCAAACTCCAGGGCTCAAAGTATGCACTTGCCTCGGCCTCCCAAATAGCTGGGACAACAGGCTTGCACCATCATACCTGGCTAATTTTTAAATTTTTTGCGGAAATGGGTGTCTTTCTATGTTGTCCAAGCTGATCTCTAACTTCTGCACTCAGCTTCCCAAAGTGCTGGGATTACAAGTGTGAATCATGGACCCAGCTGTGACTCTTTAGAGTGCTTTCCTAGTGCCCGGTATACCTCTCTGCACTTAGCACAGAATAAGTAGCTCTTGTGAACATTTCAACACGTCTGCAAGGAAGGTTCTGTTACATCCTAAAAACTGAGGTACAAACAAATTAAGACTTGCTGAGGGCTACACACCTCATAAGCGTAGCCAGGAAGTCAGGCTTAAGAGCGCATGGTCTCAGACATTTGGGCATTCTAATGAACGAATTATTTTATGTGCAGAAACAACTCTAGGGTTACTAATATTAAGTCTAATAGAGGGAAAAAATGAAAATGAGCAATAATTGGATGTTGCTTTGTAAAGTAATGTTCATCCAATATACACATACGCCAGTATTATCTATTCTAGCTATACCTCTACAGTCCCAGTTGGTGATAAGAGTCTCTGGGCATCAAATGGTCATTTCCTGTTCTCCTAAAGAAAGGGAATATATCTAAGCTTACAGGGTGGCATTATGGTACCAGATCAGATCAGATCAGCTTTAGCCCAGCCATTTTATAGTGTTTAGATTAAAAATAAGGCATCGTGACTAATACAGGTCCACAAGCCCTCATCCATAATTCTGAAGTATAGAAAGCTTTGAAAGCCTTTGTAACTCATTTGGTGGTGATTCTTGATTAATGTGACCTTAAATTTGTTTGACAGCAAAATTAGACTAATATGAGACCATTTAATCTTTATGTGTGTTATTTAATATGACCATGCATTTGACACAGGTATTTTAATGTTTTTTTATTAATGTGTGCAGGCCCCACCGGGGTCTTACACCATATACATTATTAGAACTGTTTTGCTTTTCCAGAATCCAAGAAATTCTGAATTCTGAAATACAGCTGGTTCTAAGGGAATTGGCTCTAGGGAATTGTGAACCTGTAATAGGAATTCCCCTTATTTTTTTTTCTTAATTTCTTGAGTACTACTGCAATGCAGGGACTCCAAAAGGTCAATGGGAAAAAATATGGAATATTTATTTGGATAGTTTTGATAGTTGTTACATATATAATTTGCCAAGTCGGCAGGAGGACACTGAGAAGAAATGAAATAAAAACAACTTCTATTCTGGAATCTGTTTGGGCTGGTACACTCTTTTTAAACAAACCAAGTAAACATTATGTAAAATGGTGTGTATATATAGAAGTAAGGGCACATGACATTCATCTTCAAAGCTGACAACATTCTTTTAATTCCTTGGCTTTCTTTTTGCATATTTTTTATAGATGTTTATAGCTGTCTTCATATCCTGCTGATAAGTTGACACTTGAAGGGAATAGAGATGAAGAAACAATCTAAGAGAGACTATATGCAATATCAGGTTCCCATTGCTAGCTGGGTAGTGCCAGAGCTTGGGTCACTCTGCTGTTAGCCCTGACACCCTTCAGCTGCACCACATACTATGACATGTTTCTGGAAAGTTTCTTGAAAAATGACTGTTAAATAAATGGAATCCTAAATTTTTTGGCGGGGAGGAATAGAGTTTTGCTCTTGTTGCCCAGGCTGGAGTGCAGTGGCAGGATTTTTGGCTCATTGCAAACTCCGCTTCCAGGTTCCAGTGATTCTCCCGCCTCAGTCTCTAGGGTAGCTGAGACTACAGGTGTGCACCACCACACCCAGTTAATTTTTGTATTTTTAGTAGAGACTGGTTTCACCATGTTGGCCAGTCCAGTCTCGAACTTCTGTCCTCAGGTTATCCACCTACGTTGGCCTCCCAAAGTGCTGGGATTATAGGTGTGAGCCACCGCCCTGGTCTTGGAATTCTAATTTTAAAGTGTATACTGTTTTTCTGATGGCAAAAGTATTTCATAATTAATGTAGATCACACTGTCTAATATAGTAGCCACTAGCCTCGGGTAGCTAATGAGCACTTGAACTGTGGTGAGTGCAGATTGATGTGTGTTGTATAAAATGCACCCCAGATTTTGGAGGTTAAATATGAAAAAGAAAATAAAATATCTTATTGGTATTTATTTCTGTTTATTACATGTAGAAGTGATAAAATTTGAACATGTTGGATTAAATAGAATATATTATTAATTTTGCCTGTTTTTACTTTTTAAAAATGTGACTTCTAGAATATTTAAATTTGTATGTGTGGCTGCCATTATATTTCTATCAGACAGTTCCATTAATATAATGGAAATATTACAGTATGTATAACATGGAAAGTGAAAGTTCCTCACAATTCTCCTCCTGGAGAGAATCTAGGGATATTCTTCCTTGTCTTTTTTATCCATAGAAAACATAAATTGTTACATATTTTAAACACTTCTTATAGAAACAAGATTGTACTATAAGGTTTAGAGATGTTCCTGTTTGTGAAAAATATTTATTGGATGTCTTAGACTCAAGTAAAATGCATTAGGGAAGCTTGTTGTTTAATAGACTTTATGGTGAATCCTTATATAAAAAAAAATTATTGTGTAAAAGTTGCCTTTAGATGAACATTGTAGATCAATCTGTATTTTCACAAATCAGGTTTCTAAGTTTTCATTAAAGCAAGATATTATATGGAGGGCAGAAAATACTTTAAAATTTAAGTATAGTTTAATATTTTTTGCTTATGTAATTTAATATAAATTTTTTATTTTTCTTTTTCCAGCAAATTCTGCCCAGCTGGTTGTAAAGACGTAGCAGGAGACATTTCTGGGAATATGGTAGATGGATATAGAGATGTAAGTAATGGAGAGTAATAGCAGAGAATGAATTAAAAGGAGTAAGTATATATACTTACTCCTTAAAGTGAATGTTACATTTTATATATACACCACTTTACTCCAAATTAATTTACTCTGCCTAAATTAATTACTGAGTAAAGTTAAATGAGATCTAAAACTCCGGATAGATGCATGAGTCTCTCTTCTCTGAGAATGAATGAAATAAGTATAAAAACTAAGGTTACCCATGCATTCATTCCTATTTCTAGCATTTCCAGTTAAGCATACTATAAATGAAATGAAAAACAAACTTTTCACCATCTGAAAGTATTATTCCATCCACTTTTTGTAAGAGGTTATAAATTTGCATTCTTTTTATTATGGTTTATTTCTTTAATATTCCACTGGTTCCTGTAATAGACAAAGGGCATGAATATTCACATCATAGAACAGTGATATTGTATGTGGGGCCAGTGAAGCCATCTATCCTGCTCTTATTCCCCTCTCTCCTTGCAAATCAAGTTCTTATGTCCAGTAAGACTATATGGGTTATGTAGTAATACATTGTGCCCAGAGAAAAATAAATTCCAAGGAATTTATTTTGCTAAACTGCATGTCCTATCTCCAGATACATAATCCTCCATTTGTTTCTATTTACAGATTTCTGTCCTGGAAATCTAGTATCTGATTTTTAAAAAATTTACATTGCTATTTGAAGTAGTTGGGTTTATAGCCTAGCTTTTGGGAATTGCCTTGAGTTAGAACTATCTATAGCAAAAACCTATTGTTATGAAACTGTTTTTAAAGTTATTTATGTGTGTTTTTATGCCTAGGGAAAAATAACCTTTATCTACTTGTTTCAGGTGATTGATAAATCCTCTGTGGTGTGGGGAAAAAGCTCGACTTTTAATTTTCACTTTTGGCACATTCTGATTCTGGAAACAGCAGATTTTATTTTGCTTTTCATTCCTTTTTTTCTGTATTTTTATTTATAAGATTGACACAGGATACTCATCTGACCTATAAATTGACTCTTAAAATGATTTACACTACCTCAGTTTGAAGATTTACTTGGTGCAGGCAATTCTTAAATGACTACGGGGAACTGAGAAATAAAAAGTTGACATTTTTTTCCCCAGCAATAGAAAGTTTTTATTTATTATTTTCCTGTTCTGTGCAAGAAATGTAAGAATTATGTACAATAAGAGAAATAGCATAGTTTTTTCTTACTGTGGATGTTTATCTTACATGATCCGTTAAGTGCTGGCAAATAGGTTTCCTATTTGACCCACTAACTGGTTTTGCACTATTTGCTTTTAGAATGATTTTATCTGAAAGGAAATTTGTGTTTTGAAAGCTACCCTCTTCAAAGAACTCAGATTAGTGCCTTTTTTGTATATGTCAGTATCATGGATGTATTAGATATGTATTGCTGCATAATAACACTACCACAGACTTAGAAGCTTAAAATGGCACATATTTATTATCTTTCATTTTCTGTGGATTAGGAAACTGGACATGGTTTAGCTGGGTTCTCTGCCTCAGGGTCTCATAAGGGTGCAACAAAGGTGTCAGCTGGGGCTGCAGTCTCATTGAAGGCTCAATTGGGGAAGGATCTGCTTCTAAGCTCATGTCATGTTGACAGCATTCAGTTACTTGTGGGTTGTTGGACTGAAGACCTCAGTTTCTTCCTGGATTTTGGCTGGAGGCCATCCTCAGTTCTCGCCATCTAGGCCTTCTCAGCGTGGCCACTTGCATTTTCAAAGCAAACAAGGGAAAGTCTTTGAGGAAAGGCATCTCCTAGCAAGATAGATTACACTCTTGTGTAATGTTATCATGGGAGTGGTATCCCATCAATTTTTCCATATTCTTATAGACTTAGAAGAAAATCTCAGCTCCCACTCACACTCAGGGGCATTCAGGGGGCTTCCACAAGAGGGAATACAGGGAAGCAGGGATCATTGGGTTTATTTCATCTTGGGAAATGTGTTCAGTTGCAGCAAGTCTTTTTGGAAAAGTCTTTGCAAAACCAAAGCATATCCTGTAGGTCAGGAGGACCTAATCTGTAAAATAAATAACTAGAGTTGCTGTTGAAGAAGCAGGTGCCCTGTCTCAGGGAAGAATATATTGTCTTACAGAGCTATTATAGAAAAGGCATTGGTTTATTCTGTATTGCTCCAAAAGGCAGAACTGGGATCAGTGGATAAAAGTTACAGGGATGCCAATTTCAGCTGCATATAAGGAATAATTGAACAATGCAAAATGGGGTAGGCGGTCTTGAGACAGTGATTTCCTAGTTGCTGGAAATGTCAGGTGTAGATGTTACAATGATTTGTCAGGGATAGACTGTCTTTGTGTGGGAAGGGTGCTGTGGTGTGGAGACAGGGGTGGTCTGTCAGGAGGTATGAGCGAGGAACTTTAAAGGCCTTTTTGAATTTTTGAGATTCTGTAGCTCTGTCTCCTACTGACAATTAAAGCATCCAAATTGGTATATGTTTCCAATGCCAGTGAAGGAATATGGGCTTCTCTTAAGATCTGCCTCACCTGCCCCCAGAACAGTTTTTCTCTTGGCACCTTCTCCCCAGCCTGCTAACTATACCATCTGTTTTTAAGCAGAACATACCACTTAATTAATTGGTTTCAACAATTCTCCTCTCCCAAAAATGTTCAATAAGTATTGTAAAATAGAGACAGTATACATGTAGTGTGCTGCAGTTTAGGAGGAGAAGGGGAGAAACGGGGCCTCTTGTACACACCCAGAAAAAACAGAGGGAAATACATGATAATGGCAAGTGATTATCTCTGGATAATGACAATGTGAGTGATTTTTTTTCATTGTTTCCAACATTTCTATAAAGAATGTATATTTTATGAAGAAAACATTATTGATATGCTAATTATGAGTACTATAGCAGCACAGAAACAATTCATATGATAGAAAGAAGCATATATTTGATAATTTAACATTTTACTTTCATTCTGCCAACACTTTTAAGCATGTGCTTTATACTACCTTGCTGGTTTTGGTTCATGTTTTATTAAATGCCATCTAAAGTGTTTACTTTTATGTTACACTTCCTTTTAAAACATTGTCAACACTGTTTTAGGATAAGTTGATTTTTCCTAAAGGAAGATTTAAGAAAATTCTGGGATGATTTGATAGTTGCTTGGAAAGTTGTTTAGTCTTAGCTCACACTAAGCTGTTGGCCATTGTTTATGGCTTAGTGAACTTCGGAAATCTTTATTGTAGATAATGCCATCCACCTGTAATTGCCTGAGCCGTGCAGATATTCTCTGCAGCTGGCCATTGCATTCCCTTTCCTAAAGAAGTATTACATTTACATTATTCTGCTTAAGTAAGTATATTTTGTTTAAAATAATTTACTAATTAACATAGGCTAGGTAATACGGCTTTCCAATATTTACCTTTCAGTAAGATTTAGACTTCAAAATAGCTAGAAAATAAAAGTATAAATTGTACCATGTGTTCAAAAGGGAATTTTCAAAAATCAGGTTCAATAAATATGAATTTAAAAAAATCAATACCAGGCCAGGCGCAGTGGCTCACACCTGTAATCCCAGCACTTTGGGAGGCCGAGGCGGGTGGATCATGAGGTCAAGAGATCGAGACCATCCTGGCCAACATGGTGAAATCCCATATCTACTAAAAATACAAAAAAATTAGCTGGGCGTGGTGGCGCACGCCTGTAGTCCCACCTACTCAGGAGGCTGAGGCAGGAGAATTGCTTGAACCCGGGAGGTGGAGGTTGTAGTGAGCTGAGGTCATGCCACTGCACTCCAGCCTGGCGCCTGGTGACAGAGTGAGACTCTGTCTCAAAAAAAAAAAAAAAAAAAGAAATCAATACCAAAAAAGTGACAACTTAAATAAACATCAGTTTTCTTTAAGTTGGATGGATGAAGGAGTGATTATTTTAAAGAAAATGTCTTAGAAAATGCTGGTAATTTTATCATAATAATATGATAGTGAGATTTGATGGCTAGTCTATTGGAGATATATCCTATGGCCTGCAATTAATATTAAAAGAAATGGCAAAAACTGAAATTACTTTTGCACCAAGCTATTATGGAAAGCCATAGCTGCAATTAAATAATTTTATAAAAAGGGTATACACCACTGAATTCCTTCAATACTGAGTACCGTGGGAAATGAGTATATTTATTGGCCTATGATGCTATTAGATCCTGTTGCTCATTGGCCTGTGAACCTGTCCTCTTATAGCCAAGAAGGCCCTGGGACATGCCCATTCCAGTGAGAGCTCTCTATAGGCAGGGTTCCTGGGATGAAGACCAGTGATCCCAAGGACAGTGGGAATAGCTGCCCAGCAGACCACTGAACCAATTTGGTTTTCATTTTGGGGTTTAGTGAGGGAGACAGGCCTGCATTGCTCCTATAAAATGTACACTGGGTAGCCTTTAGAGTCACAAGGTGACAGACCTTCAGAAAAGACCCTAGACCAGCAGTCCCCAACCTTTTTGGCAACAGGGACCACTTTTCTGAAAGACAGTTCTTCCGTAAACATGGTGAGTAATGGTTTCAGGATGAAAGTGTTCCACCTCAGATAACCAGGAATTAGATTCACATAAGGAGCACACAACCTCAATTGCTCACGTCCACAGTTTACAGTAGGATTTGCACCCCTATGAGAATCTAATGCCTCCGCTGATCTGACAGGAGGCAGAGCTCAGGCGATAATGTGCGCTTGCCCATGGCTCACCTCCTGTTGTGTGGCCCGGGTTCCTAACAGGCCATAGACCAGTACCAGTCCACAGCCTGGGGGGTTAGGGACCCATGCACTAGACAACATCCAGTTCAGGCTTCTCATTGTCCAGAGGAACGAGAAGCCAAGTGAAGAGTAGTGGAATGACTTTCATATACCTTGTGGAGTTAGAGGCAAAGCCAGGATGACAAGATAAATTGCTAAGTTTAAATTCAGGTTTTTTCCTTTTCAACTGGCTACTCCATTTTGTTTGCAGCCAAGAGTCCAAACTGATGATAAGAAAGCTTTTTAATGAAAGAAAATTCAGGAAAAATATACAGAAAATTTAGGAAAGATAAAAACACAAACTGCATTCTTAGTAAAGAGTATAGTCAGTTTCTCTCCTAACTGTAATTCTTTTTTCCCTCCAAAATTAGAGAGGGTAGTATCTGCATCTCTGTTTCAGCATTCTCACATTTTTTTCCTGTCATGAAATCTTTGGTCTCTTTTGTTATAATAGCAGTTATTGCAAAACTGACTCACTTTGCCAAACCTAATCTAGTTTGGGAAATATGAATTCTCTGAATTGAAGATCACAAAGTTCTCAATTTTATTGCAACTATATTAACTGCAAAAGATGACTTATCTCGTTAGTCCTCATAGTACTGTAACTTAAGTCTAAAGGAACTTTTTCATTGTAAATAAGGTAAACAGCATTGTTATTAACAAAAAGAGAAATTCCTAAGTCCAGTTATTGAGACACAATTCATGAGACACTGTTTTCTTTTGGCATTAATGGTCATGAAGAAGTGGAGCATAGCTAAGGTTTATTTTGGAAATGATGTTTCTCATCCCCTCGCTCCTGGGTCTGAGTGCCTTATCACCCTTTCACAGAGGTCTGTGCTTGGGAACCTACAGGCCTGTGCACCCCATGGAAAGTTCTAGTCGTTTCTGTAGCCCCACTTCCTGACTGAGCCAATTCCAATCCCACGACCCCCTGTAAATCAGAGTCAGTCTGCTGCTCCTGCTGCATCTGTCAGAACAGCCAGTAACCTGCTGACACCTCACGCTGAACATTGCAGGGCTGAGCTGGCACCAGCTTTTTGATGCCTCCTGAGGGGATTCAGGAAGTGAGATGGAGGCTGTCAGCCCTGAGTTGCTCGTCATCCCTGCAGGAACTTCGTTAAGCTTTCTGTTCCATTTAATGTTCTGTGGCTGTCATTAACATTGTGGTTTTGGTACCTTGATAAATCTCTAAATTAATTTGAAAATGGATGTGTGGAATTGAAGAAAGTTCAGCTTCTTAAATAATAACTTGGCATGTGTGTCTGATAGCCTAAGTGTAAGAAACTGGATCTGTTACCTATTTCTGCTTAACAGGTCTCTCCAAAACTTAGTAGCTTGAAGTTGAAGCCATTTTATTTGCTGATGAGTTTGAGGGTGAGCAGTTTGGGCTTCAGCCACATTGGATTGGATTCTTAAGCTCCCTTAGCCTGGAATCACTCTTGTGGCTTCCATCATATGGAAGATTAACTGGGGGCTCAAGGGTCTGAGGTGGCTTCACTCACATGTGTAACAGTTGGCTAGGCCCTGTTATCTGCAGCAGAACAAAGCAAGCCACATGTCCCAGAGTCAATGAGGGAGGTGACCACTCCAGGGCATGGCCATTGGAAGGCTTTATTCGTTGGGGCCACTACTGTAAATTACCACAGAAACAAAATAGAAAACTCCAACTATATTTTAACGGTGTTCTTTTAAGTTCTGCATGATGGTGTTGCTGTGTTTCAGACCTCTTTATTGTGCAAAGCTGCCATCCATGCAGGAATAATTGCTGACGAACTGGGTGGCCAGATCAGTGTGCTTCAGCACAAAGGGATCAGTCGATATGAAGGAATCCTGGCCAATGGTGTGCTGTCAAGGGAGTAAGTACTTTTTTTCAGTACCGTTTGTTCTGAGTAGAAGGTAACCCTGAAGAATAATTTAACCAGCTCACAACTTTGAAAAGACGGCAGGGATGTGATAGCAAGGGTTTGTCAACTGGAAAAATATGCATGAGTGCTTAGAGCAGCATTTCTCGTCTCTGGGTGGATGACAAATGTAGCAATCAGAAAGCTCACTGGTTATGCTGACATGTAAATTAAAATGGCTCACTCTGAAGCCCTGGGGCAGAGGAGTGTTTTCACTCTCGGGTGCTTTTGTGGGAGAAAATAAAGGCTGAATCCTTTTTAGGTTTTTACAACTTGAGTAAATTACTGGTTACCTCCAATATTATCATCAGCTGAAACCCTTAAAGAACCACTCAGCTCCCTAGAAGATTCCTAGAGACAGTCATTTACTGATGAGTTTGGGAAGTGAAAATAGATGGCTTTTGTTAACATTGTTTAAAAAAAGATTGCTTTTGTTAATATTACATTCTTCATTTGTTTTTACCCTGTGCTGTTTTAGCTTCATGAGAAAAAATATATCTATGTGTTAATTGCTTTAAACATTTCCACCTAAGCTTTTCATATTTTCAGATTTCCTCAGTCTCTAGAAGGTAGAAAAGTAGAGCTATGTAGAACTCAGTGTCAACCTGCCCTGTGGTCCAGACATCCACACACAGGATACAGACAGCTTAGAATGGCCAAGAGGGAGACACTCCTGGAGTGGAAACCTAGTGAGGGAAAGGTGCTCCTTGAGCCACTGTATTTCTCTCTTTCACTCTCTCCTTCTCTCTGTGTCCCTGGATATGTCTTCTGCCTTCTGTGACTCTGTTTTTTGCGCAGGTTTTCACATGGCCTGGGTTCCAAGAATAAGGCACAAGACAGAGGTTTTAGGCGTTTTGGGATCCAGAAATGGGGGAAAAAATGCCAGGACCTATATATTCAATCACTCGTTAATCTGTATGACGATCTCCCCCTGCCCCTGCTATTTTGTCCTAGCATGCAGAAAGAACATGGTTATGTTTTACTGTTCCATTTTTATAATGAATGGTGAGCCATCTTATCTTGGATAGGTTCTCAGGTTAGTCAGCATAGATAGATACAGTGAGATGTTATTTTGATAATTGCAGTGTTTTCCTTCACCTTCCTACTTTTATTTAAATGTATTAGCAATGTCATAGGTCAAATAGGTATCCTGACTACAAGTTATGACATTGCTTTTATTGGAAAATGTGTCTTAAGTTCTGAAGAACCAGCTTACGAACTCACATGTAAACTTTGGGACTAACACCCAATTTATGATTGGGGGTGTTGACCCATACTCATAGGCAGTGCTATTTGAAAGCAGTAACTGAAGTTAGGGGAGAGGTAGTTAGGTCATCTTCACGAAGGAGATGAGTCTTGTGTTTGATGGAAGGCAGGAACAGTGCTAAGAGGGATTATGGGGGTAGAGTCAAGACTGGGGAGCAATGTTGGGGTGGGGTGGTGACCGTCGGCACACCATGCTCACAGTCATGAGGGTGTCTATGGAGAAAAGGCAGAGTCTCTCACTGGCAATTCTGAATTCAGAAGTTCAGGCCTCAGGGTGCAGGTAACTAGAGAAGATGTTCCAATATAACTCTTTTACTCAAGCAATGCAGGTAGTACTGTGTGTAATCCACAAAAGACTTCCATCCACCAAGGACAGCGGTGCATGCCGTGCACTTGGACATGTGGGCTTACCTCATGGTATTTGTGTTCTCTGCCTACCATGACCCTCCCATTTATTTGCTTTCCCCTTCTAGATAGATTTTCAGCTGTAAGAGTACACAAAGTGTCCTTTTCATATTACCTGAACATTCAAAGACAAATTAGTCTCTAAATTTGTGCCAATGTTTAAGATCCAAAAGTTCCATAACAGTATGCTGTTAGAAACTAAAATCTCTATTCAGATGAATAAAATTATACATATATACACATACACATATATACATACATTTTTCACATAAATATTTGTCACATACTTTTCAGAACATTAAATTTTATTTTAAAATTTACATTCTGATTTATAGTAAAAGTGATCACTTATGCACAGTAAGCCTTTAAATGCCAACTTGACCTTGACTTTTAAGAATGTATTTTTTTTTAGGTTTTTTGATGGTTTCTTCTGTTGATAGTAGGTTGCTACTTTAGGAAAATAACAGGCTCTAGCCTGAATTCGTTAGGTGCTACCACTTCCAAACAGGAATGAAGAGCTACCCTTTGGCTTTCAGTCTGTTTTTGGAATCATTTGTCTGTGTTTGTCTACATTTGAATGCTCCTTTTATTGGAAAACAGGATAACAAAAAGTTTGACTAGGATTTTATTTTACTTTTGAACAACAATTATTAAAACTGTTGAATAAAGTTAGACCTTGTATTCTCAGTTACTTCTGGGACATGATAAATACAAATATTTTATAACATTTGAAAATTATATATTACATATATAATTTTACATATATATTTTATATAATTTTATATATTTCATATAATTTTAAGTTACACTTCCATGCAAAAAGTAGAGTACACAAATCTAAACCATTAATGAATTATAAAAGGTTTTGTTTCATATTCCATATAATTATTTGTACTAATTGTCTGATTTTTGTATTGGGAGGAGTGGATGGAAAGTGCAGAATTATATCAAGATCTTTCTTCTAGATCTGTGATTTTTGCACTGACTTTTTGCACTGACCAAATAGTTTACTGTGTGTTCACACAGTCTCTTCCACTTATTTAGATTTGAAATCTTCAGGGAGCAGTTGTTTTTATCTGTGTTGTTTTGCTCTTGGGGAAACACTGTACATGCGGTCATTGAACTTATATTCCCACACACGATTGTTTGGCATTCAGGAAAAACCAGAGAAGGAAGTATTGCAGCTGAGGAAGAAGGGGTCCCTAAAGTAAATATCTAGGGTTCTTCTGGGATTCATCCCCGGTCAGATCACTTCCTTAATTTGAAGAGACCAGAATGGAATCAGGAAGAGGGACTGACTGCATACCGAGGATAATGGTGCTAACCATCAGAAGGGAAAACCTTCTTTCTGTTTCCATCAGATCTTCTTGATTGCTTCTGTAGCCCTCTGGGGAGGCCTTTTATTCCTGTAATCTGATTGAATTCATTCACTCTAATGTGTGAATGCTTCAGAACCCTAACCTCCCTATGGGGGTTTTTATTTTTAAAGAGTAGGCTTATTAACCTATAGAATTATTTAAGTGGTCTGTATTTAATTAGTTTAATGGAATGAAATGGAAAAACATTTTCCAGTTGATAATGGAGGAAAGCCAGGCAGAGAACTGTTAGAAGCAGAGCTTTTCCTGGTTTCTTCTCAGGATTAACTCCAAAGTTATCCTTCCCATACTTTTTGGTTAACAACAACAAAACTAATATTTCATGGCAGGAGGAGTGAGCTTAGTTTCTTAGGGTTGCCACAGCATTATTTGGGCTTATTTGAGCCACATTTCAAATTTAACAGTGTAGAAACATTAGAGAAAATGGAAAAGGAGACAAAAGAGAGGCTCTACATAAATCTTAATACAATTTTAATATGATTAGCACCTACATTTAAGTGTCAGGAGAGTTGAGTTCTCACCCAAGCTTTTTTGCTAACTATGAACTCAGGCAAGTCCCAGGACCCGTGTGGATCTGAGTTTTTTCAGGCAAGTAATGATTGGTGCCTGTATTATATTCAGTGCAGAGATTATAGAAGAACCTGTATGTGGAATATTAGGGTTTATGGAGCCTGCAAAGCATAGACAATGTGAAAGAGAAAGTCTATTCTGGAGAGTTTTACTACCCATTGTTTCTAAAAAGAGCTTTTGATGGGAAGGTACTTATACTCTTGGCCAGAGTACTTTTGCGTTATTTGCGGATTTCATGTTTTAGTATTCTGTTTGTCCATTATTCCCATTTATAATTCAGAGTTAAACATTTAAAATAATAAGCAGCACTCTGAGGTTGTAAAATAGTTGTAAAAAGTTGGGCACAACAGGGGCATCTACCTTTTGGTGTTTACCTCTAGTATCTAATACTGGGCACATGAAGCTAATGTTGAGGCCTCCACATTTTCCATTCATTCTATGTATTTTTCATACCACTGACTTTGTGAGGAATTATTTTAAAGGCTGATCTGTTCTTCTAAGGTAGATAAGGACATTTCTGTGGCCTCAGGAATCTCTTCTGCAGTGAAAGAGACAACTGCAGAATGAGGCTGATTCGATCATTTCTCCTGTGATAGTGATAGAAGCTGTAGAACTGCAAGGATCAGGAGTCCACAGGACAAATGCCAGATGAGTGGTGGTACTGTCTTGCAGCAGTGAGGCCAGCTCACTGACATGCTATGTGTTTTCTCCAGCTGTACCTTGTCATCCAGAAGCAGGAGCTGGTTCAAGGTTTGGTGCCGGTTGCTACAGTAGGTAGGAATGTGACTGTGGAGAGAGACGGAGCAGAGACTGTCCCCAGAGCAACACTGCTGAAGCAAGATCCTCAGTGAAAGGAGAGAGATGTGTGGGGAAGACAGATGGAAATGAGTGGAACACTTTAAGGTGACTGCTCAGACAAAGAGAGATTTCAGGGCCGTAATCCTTTATGTCTTCATCATCTTGCATTAATTAATTGAGATGTAAGGTTAGTCCTGAGAGTGTATATCTACACATTCCTTTCCAATAAATTCAGCATGGTGAAAATAGCTCAGGATTCTGATTCAAAAGTAGCATCTCAGAGTCCTAGCCTCTTGTCACCTATATGAAGTTAGGAAAGTTGCTTACCTTCCATGGGCCTAAGCTTCCTGTTCTATAAAGTACTGATGATGAAGATAATAGCAGTAGGTTTGCAAGGGTGTTGTAAGGATCATGTGGGGAAGCGCAGGTGCGAAGGCTGTGTGAGCCCTGTGATGTAGCACTGTATTAGTCACTAAGATCTAGGTAACCAACTCACCTTCTCATGTTTGTCTTTGTTGTTTCAGTGGTTCCCTGTCAGACAGGCGATTTCTGTTTACCTCCAATGGTAAGGATCATGCTTTCCTTACAAATTTGATATTTGAAAATTCTTCAGTAGTAGTTTATTCCTCCATACCCTTCAGATTATATCATTTAAAAGGTTTTTTTCTTCTTTTTATTTTTTCTTAGGTCACATAGCACATTAAAAAAAAAAAAAAAAAAGGGAGACAGGGTCTCACTATGTTGCTCAAGCTGGTCTCAAATTCCTGGGCTTAAGTGATCCTCCTGCCTCAGCCACCCACACCAAATCTTCTTGACTTAACCATACACAGGATAATAATCCTAATTAACATTAAGCAGAAAATATGTTTCTTTATAATCTAAACTCTCTCAAACTTTTGCCTAAAAGAATCAAAAGTGAAACATTTAAGATAAATTCCTTAATCTTAGATTTTAAGAGAAAAGGCTTTCAAATATTGCAATTTGATTTATTATTTTGAATAAAGTTATTGAAAGTGAGTATATAAAAGCTGTTTAGCTTCACCATTATGGAATGTATTCTAAATAAATACTCTCCCTTCGCATAAATGATTTCAAGGAAAACACTGACTATTTCTTCTTTGCCCAGAAGAGCAGGCCTTTATTTGCTGCCTTCACATTGCTATATTGGACATGGTATAGTTAAGGTCCTTTGGATGAATATTGGTAAAGCTTACTGATCTTCAGAGGACTTAGACACATCTGCTTTTCAAGTATGTGGAAAGAATGGAGTTCCCTTCTGATTCTAAATCCTTTAAAATGAGAAGGAACACAGCATTTTAAACCTTTTAACACAGATTGCACTTTGTTGAAATCAGGGTGAATTCAGAAGGTTAGAAAAGAAAATCTACAGTGGGGACAAAGAGATGTCACTTATAGAGGATGTGACTTTGAGGTCTATTAAGAAAAGCAGTAACAGTTTCAAGGCACAGTAGTACAAATGAGTGAAAGTCTGGACCATTTAAAAACTGGTAATTAAACACTTCATTCTATATTAGAATAAAAGTCAACCAGTTGAATATTCTAGGTGAGATGGGGTACTTGTTTTTGCTGTCATTTTATGTCTATCTCTGAAATGTCTTACTGTACTCTTTCTTCTAGGTTGCAGCAGATCCTTGAGTTTGGAACCAGATGGGCAAATCAGAGCTTCTTCCTCATGGCAGTCGGTCAATGAGAGTGGAGACCAAGTTCACTGGTCTCCTGGCCAAGCCCGACTTCAGGACCAAGGCCCATCATGGGCTTCGGGTGACAGTAGCAACAACCACAAACCACGAGAGTGGCTGGAGATAGATTTGGGAGAGAAAAAGAAAATAACAGGTGCAAAAATAACACAAGCACAGGAGTATTTTTGTGGTTGTGAATGACTTGCTGTTGAAAATATGTTTACCATTTACATAGGTGCCTCTCTTCCTACCTCCAAGTACTTGAAATCTTTTAAAATGTAACAAATCTTTACAGTATTTCTGTGAAAAGAACTGGTCTGCAAGTTGTAAATATGGATATATGGATTATATACGGATTAGAGAGGTAATTCTTCATTGTAAAACCTTTATGTGGTGTGTTGTCAGAGTGAAAACATTAATCTGTGAACAGATTTTTAAGTGCAGCTAATATAAGTTGGCCTGTAAGATGATTTGAGGTTTCAAATGAGGGAGAAAAAAATGAAACTTGAAATTATAATACGTGTTATATTTAACAAACTTTAAAAAGTAGCCTGTAATTGTTATTTTCTTACAAGGAATTAGGACTACAGGATCTACACAGTCGAATTTCAACTTTTATGTTAAGAGTTTTGTGATGAACTTCAAAAACAACAATTCTAAGTGGAAGACCTATAAAGGAATTGTGAATAATGAAGAAAAGGTAAGAGTTAGCCCTGGAGGCAAGATAACTGAGTAGGAGAACAGGCCTCTATATATTTTCATTTGTGTGTTTACATTAAATATTTCATTAATAAAAGACAATGAGGCCAGGCATGGTGGCTCATTCCTGTCATCCTCAGGCTTTGAGAGGCCAAGACAGGAGGATCATTTGAGACCATGCTGGGCAGCATAGCAGGATCCCACCACTACAAAAAAATTTTTCTTTTTCAGTTAGCCAAATGTGGCAGTGCATGCTTGTAGTCCTAGATACTTGGGAGGCTGCCACAGGAGGATCACTTGAGCCCAGGAGTTCAAGGTTACAGTGATTATGATTGTGCTATTGTACTACAGTCTGGGCAACAGAGTAAGATCCTGTTTCTAAAATCAAATAAAGTTTTTAAAAAGGTGATGATGGGCTAGGCGCAATGACTCACACCTGTAATCTCAGCACTTTGGGAGGCCAAAGCAGGTGGATTACCTAAGGTCAGGAGTTTGAGACCAGCCTGGCCAACATGGTGAAACCCCATCTCTACTAAAAATACAAAAATTAGCCAGGAGTGGTGGCTGGTGCCTGTAATCCCAGCTACTTGGGAGGCTAAGGCAGGAGAATAGCTTGAACCCAGGAGGCAGAGGTTGCAGTGAGCCGAGATTGTGTCATTGCATTCTAGCCTCTGTAACAGAGTAAGACTCCGTCCCAAGAATAAAACATCTCAAAAAAAAAAAAAAAAAAAAAACCACACACACACACACACAACCTTGAGAGATCTTTGTGATTTAATTCTTTTCTACTTCAGGAATGAAATACTTGTGATTTTGTTGGGAAGTGAAAATTGGCCATTTGAAATGATTCCTTCAGTATAAGCATAGTGGATGTTTGAGTTGGAAGGCAGTGGCAAAAGTGAGAGCTGAAGCCTTGTACTCTTGAGGTTGCTTGTCTGCAGCACCAGTTGAATGTAGAAATATTAAGATCAAGTAATACAGCAAGGCAATTTTAGCTTGTTTATCCAAAATGAAATTTAAACCAGTAAACAGATGAACAGCACCACCTTAGTTAGATAACTTGGCCCTTGTTTGCAAAGCCTCATATCTTCAATATCAAGAGTGTCTAGAAAAATGCAACGGACATAGAATCCTTTTCTTGATTTCATATAACTAGATATAAGTGGGATGATAAACACCTAAAAACTAACCAATAGAATCTTAAGGTAAAAATAATTTCCTTCTATAGGTGTTTCAGGGCAACTCTAACTTTCGGGACCCAGTGCAGAACAATTTCATCCCTCCCATCGTGGCCAGATATGTACGGGTTGTCCCCCAGACATGGCACCAGAGGATAGCCTTGAAGGTGGAGCTCATTGGTTGCCAGATTACACAAGGTAGGGCTCAGGGCAAGACAGTGAGTTATTCAAGTTTAGTCTTTTTTTTTTTTTTTTTTTTTTTTTTTCCTATCAATGTTACTAATGTGGTTTTCCCAACATCCCTCCTTTCTCAGGTAATGATTCATTGGTGTGGCGCAAGACAACTCAAAGCACCAGTGTTTCAACTGAGAAAGAAGATGAGACAATCACAAGGCCCATCCCCTCAGAAGACATGCCCACAGGTAGAGCAGTCATTGTTTTGTGGTTTCATAAGGAGCATAGCTGGTACCCCACCCAATATCAGTAACTTCAACAAAATTTCTTTTTCTCTGTCATATAAATGCTGGAGGTAGATGATCCAGAGGTATTGGCACATATGTAGAATTATGTATGTTTACAGCTTTTCATTGAGTATTAGAAAGATTAGGAATGAACTTATGTGCCCTTCAAACACTAGGTACATATTTTGTGGAAAAATAAAATATTAGCATATTCATGCAATGGAACACTCTGCAGCCACAAAAAAGAATGTATTGGCAATATAGAAAGCTCTCTAAGACATAGTGGCAACTTAAAAAAAATAAGTAAAGTATAGAACTATCTAGCACACCACCCTTTCTGCCAACAGGAGAAATAAAGAATAAATATTCATTCCAGTATCTCTAGAAACATTTCAGGAAACATAATGTGGCTTTCTGTGGAGGAGGAACAGAGGTAGGAGGCACATATTCCATTCCATACTTTTGTATGCTTTTTGCATTTTGAACATCTAAGTGTCTAATATATTCAAATAATGAACATTAAAAGTAAATTTTTTCAGAATATAAAATAATTTACATATCAATTTTGTAAGAATTTGGAAAGATGAGAAAAACACAAGAAAACAAAAATTAGTCATAAATCAGCATCCATTGATAATCACCAAATCTCACTGATTCTAGTAAACTATATTTCTAACTTTAAGACAAAAATGGTAGCATATCATATGATTCTGTTCTGTAGCATATATTTTTCATTTAACATTGTATTATGAGCATTTTCCAATGTTACTAGAATGTTGAAAACCCCAGTTATTAATGTCTTTATACTATATTTTCACATGGATAAACCATTATTTACTTGACCATTCCCCTGATGTTGGGTGTTTAAGTTGTTTGATTTTCCCCAAATTTTTACTCTTAAAAATCACACCACTGCTGGGCCTGGTGGCTTGTTCCTATAGTCCTAGCACTTTGGGAGGCCGAGGCAGGCAGATTACCTGAGCTCAGGAGTTCAAGACCGGCCTGGGCAACAGGGTGAAACCCCATCTCTACTAAAATACAAAAATTAGCCAGGCATGGTGGCATGGGCCTGTAGTCCGAGCTACTCAGGAGGCTGAGGCAGGAGAATTGCTTGAACCTAGGAGGCAGAGGTTGCTGCAAGCTGAGATCACACCACTGCACTCCAGCCTGGGCAACAGAGCGAGGCTCCATCTCTAAAATAAATAAATAAAATAATAAAACAACACCACTGTTACTTACACATAAATTTTGTTTTTATCTAAGTTCCTTTTCCCCTTCTTCATGAATTGCATTTTCCCACTTGTAAGCATCCCTTTATTTTCTTCCCAGGGATCACAGAAGAAAAAGATGAAGATCAAATATATTTTCTTTATTTTGTGTAATTTCCACAAACTTGGGGCCTGCCTTAGAGGCTGTCAAACTGTCCTTTTTTTAGAACAGAAAGAATTTTAGGAAAACATGATGTGGTGTTTCATGCAACACAGTGGAAATGCTGTTTGAGGTCATCAGGCTGCCTTTCCTCTCAGTCCGCAGCCCCAGAGTTCTGTAACAAGGATCCCAGTTTTCCAGGCCACTGTTACGGTACAGGTCCAAACCCGTCTGGCATCCAGGGAAACAGGTTGCTTGAGCCAAAGTAGGAGCTCCACACTGTGCTTAAATCATGTACATGTCTAAATAGTTCCCACCTGAGAGGTGGGGGAGGGGTTCAACTTCCCCCTCATTTCAGATTTTTGGAGTTTAGTATGGGCCAAGCAACAAGCCCAGTGTACCTGTTAGTCCCTGAGAAACTTTGGAAACTGCCTTTGGGGGCCAGGGAGAGAAACTTTATTTTCCCAACCTTTAGCCAGGATTATGCATCCTTTGTTTTTTCTTTCCATTATCAGTAAATGCCTAGCATGTATTCATTTTCTCCCTATGTAAACTGCTTAAAGGCTTTTCAATTCCGTGTTCAGTTTTAGATCATGAAATGCGTTGTCAGTCATTTATGTTGTAATGTAATGGCTTTCCCTCTTCTTTAGGAATGAACATTACAACCGTGGCTATTCCACTGGTGCTTCTTGTTGCCCTGCTGCTTGCTGGAATGGGGATCTTTGCAGCCTTTAGAAAGTATGGTGACTTTATGTTTTAAATTTCTCTAATTATGCAAACAATAATAAAAACACAAAGTTTATTCTTCAGAAATGCAAATCAGCATGACTTCTTTCAAAATAAAATATTAACTTATATTTTAAAAACAAGTTAGATAAAAATAGAAATGATCAAGTATTACTTTATTAATTTTTTTTTTTTTTTTTTTTTTTGAGACGGAGTTTCACTCTTGTTACCCAGGCTGGAGTGCAATGGTGCAACCTCAGCTCACCGCAACCTCCGCCTCCCGGGTTCAGGCAATTCTCCTGCCTCAGCCTCCTGAGTAGCTGGGATTACAGGCACGTGCCACCATGCCCAGCTGATTTTTGTATTTTTAGTAGAGACGGGGTTTCACCATGTTGACCAGGATGGTCTCGATCTCTTGACCTCGTGATCCACCCGCCTCGGCCTCCCAGAGTGCTGGGATTACAGGCATGAGCCACCACGCCCGGAATTTTTTTTAATAGAAAGGGCCTCCCTCTGTCTCCCAGGATGGAGTGCAGTGGCAAGATCATACAAACTCCTGGGCTCAAGCAATCCCCCTGCCTCAATCTCCTGAGTAGCTAGGATTACAGCCATGTGCCACCATGCCCAGCCAATTTTTTTTTATATATTATAGAGATGGAGTCTCGCTTTGCCACCCAGGCTGGTCTCAAACTTCTGGCCTCATTCGATCCTCCCACCTCAGCCTCCCAAAGCAGTGGGATTAGAGGCATGAGCCACTGCACCCCACCATGTATTACTTTATAAGCAGTTCTTGTCATTTAGAGACCTCTGGTAAAGACTTAATCTGTTGAAGTATCCTGAAATTGACCTATTGTTTTAAGAAGTATCTGTGTTTCTCCTCCCTGCAGAGTAAAAGGAATATTAAATAGGCTCCTCAGGGTGTCACCAAGCAGCCCAGTAACTCAACCTCCCCAAGCCTCAGTTTTCTCATGTATAAAATACAGTTTACCCAGATGAGTTCTGAATCTCTTCCAGCATCTAAAATCCATGTTTGACAAAATGTTAGGTGTTGGATCTAAACAAAAATTGGAAAGCATCCTGAAGTTTTGTCTTTTTATATTTTAAACCACTTCAGAATCTATAATGTGTATATTAGTATAGATAGAATGAAGAATAGTTTCTGCCATCATGAGAGAAGGTACAAAATTCTCTGGTTCGGGTAGATATTCATAAGTTAAAGCATATCTTAGTGCAATGTGCTTGTATGAAATGCTTTAGACACCCACAGTTTTGGACTGGAGTACAGATGAAGTGAGACCATGTGATCTTAAGGAACTGCTTCAGGATGACTGCATGAGCTAGTGATTAAGTAAGGCGGCTGGGTGCCATGGCTCATACCTCTAATCCCAGGAAGGATTTGGGAGGAGGCAGGCAGATCACAAGATCAGGAGTTTGAGACCAGCCTGACCAACATTGTGAAACCCCGTCTCTACTAAAAATACAAAAATTAGCCAGGCATGGTGGTGCACGCCTGTAATCCCAGCTACTCAGGAGGCTGAGGCAGGAGAATTGCTTGAACCCAGGAGGTGGAGGTTACAGTGAGCTGAGATTGTGCCACTGCACTCCAGCCTGGGCAACAGAGTGAGACTCCGTCTCAAAAAACAAACACAAAAAAAAAACTAAATAAGACACTGATTTCTAATATGCAAAATAAGATTAATATATATTCTAGTGAAATCTTGTGACCTTTCTTATAAGTGAGATAAATGTATAGAGAATTCTACATATTTGTATGATTTTCTAAAGCACATGGCAGCTGCCATCTCATTTAATCCTCACATCAGCCCTATGAGATAAGTACTATTAAGATCCTCATGATATGTAGGGAGAGAGAGGCAGATTAAATTGGCTCATAAATATTCAGTAGGACTTTTTATCTTGGTAGGAAGAAGAAGAAAGGAAGTCCATATGGATCAGCAGAGGCTCAGAAAACAGGTTGGTTGAAAACTCTGTCTACAGTTTTATCTGTCTTTGAGGAAGGGACGGGATCATCTGCTGATTGAAAGCATGAGGCCAGTAGCCCACATTTATTTGGTTAAAAGACATAAGCCCTGTAGCCTTTAAAATAGCAAACCTATAAGGAAGGAATTTATTGTGTCCTGTCTTTTTATTTTTATGGCCACTTTACTTTTGTTCAATGATATGATCCCCATATCATTTGTCAACATCCTTTTTTCTTGGCCACTGGAGTTTAGGCCATGATACTGTCTGCCATCAAGGAGGTGTGACAAAAGCCTCATCAGTGAACTGAAGTAGGCTCGTGCTGTTAGCATCTGCAGGCCTGTGCTGTACTTTCCACCCTGAGAAAGTGAGAAAAAGACCAGGCATCTGATTATTTCAGGTAATCTTGCACACCAGCCCTGCCTGGTCTTTTTCTCACTTTCTCAGCCACAGACACCCAACCAATGAGTTAGCCATGGTCCAGAGAGAGAGGGCAGTGGGGCAGGACCCCTGAGAAAGCTCAGGGACCACTTGAGACTCCACCTCCCCACGGTCTGAACACCAGCGGCATTGTCTCCTCTGCGTCACAGATGCCATCCCAGTGCAGATTGTGGGAAACCAAGCCCAGATGATCTCACAAAGGGAGAATCTGGGACCCTATGAGGGCAAAATACCTTTTAAAGGCATAGCGGAAAGCTTGGTTGGAGTGGTGTTTGCTGTTGTGGTTAATGATCTCGGCATGCTGTTCTTAGTACACACGCCTGAGGAGGACATTTATCACTGTCAGCCCGACCTCTGACTCATTAAGGAACCTGTTCTGGAGGACGCACATTACATTTCTGATATATTCATTTGTTTTATGTTACCTTTATTCCAGACTGTTGGAAGCAGATTAAATATCCCTTTGCCAGACATCAGTCAGCTGAGTTTACCATCAGCTATGATAATGAGAAGGAGATGACACAAAAGTTAGATCTCATCACAAGTGATATGGCAGGTAAGTGTCATATTTCCAGGACTGTGCTGTTAGGTTGGAGGTACTGCTTATGGGGGAGAGAGGCAGGAGAAAAATAAGGCAAAATCGTTTTCTGTTTACATAGGATCCAATAAATCTGAAATGTGTTTTTTCTGCATTCTGCACAGAATTACAAACTGACACTGAGATATTACTCAAAAACCCTATTCAGCCAGTCTCTTCACCTGCAGGGGATATAGTGACATCCATACTGATATCCCTGATGTACTACTGGTATCTGGAAGCCCTGAATCTATTTTTGTTACCAAAGCTCTGATGAAGGCACTTGGAAAGAGGGACTAGAAGGAGGAATTAAATACCATTCCTGCCCTGAGGAAGGTGAGACAGGAAATAAAGGAACTCCCAGTATGAAAAGGGCCTCAGTGTCCCTGACAAGCCATCTTCAAGACTTGAGCTTCCCAAACTATCTATGGGAAAGATCTGTTTTTTGCTTTTTTTTTTTAATTTTTAATCCACTATGAATGAATACACAGTAAAATACAATATAAAATATTAGTAATAGGGAAATGTTAAAGACATACCAATTTTTTTTTATTAGATTCAACAGACATAAAATTACTCTAAGAGTAATTAGAGTAAGAGTAGTTTCTCGACAATCTCAGTTTTTGCGCCTGTCTGTCTGTGGCACTGTCACAAACAGTTCCCAGATATGTAGGACTCTGTAGTCCACGGTCTGAGTAGTGCTTTGCTTGCTGGCTTCTCCCTCCTCATATGCAGCCCGAGGACCGGAAGTATAGGTATCACCTGGGGGCTTGTTAGAAAGGGGGGGCCACAGAACCGGAAGCTCCCAGGTGACGCATGTGCGCTTCAGTGACTGGGAGTTGTTAGTGTAAGGGTTGGTTGAGCCACTTTGTGGACAAGGAGAGCATCCTCTGCAACCAAAATCCATCCTCTTGTTCCTTGGAAGTGACATGAGGGGAGAACTTATTTTCTGTTCGCTTCTTCCTTTCATTCTCCTTCAGCTTCTAATTCAGCCTTTCCTCCTTCCTCCCTGAATGATCCTTCTCAGGCTCCTTAAATGTGCAGTGCCCCGGGGTCCTGTCTCACCCCCACTCACCGCAGTCTCTCCCCTAAACAGTCCCGTGCCCTCCCCAGCTTCCAGCAGTGCCCTTCCATGCGTGTTTGTCCACACTGCTTCTCATGGTCAGACTTCCCTCCCAGTCCTTAGTCCGTAATTCTCAGCAGCCTGCTGGACGCCTCCACCTGCAGATCAGTTCCTCAGCAACCACAATCGAATCCATTGTTCCGAAACCTCGCCACACATGCTCTGTGCATTCCTTGCCTGATGGCTTCTCAATTGCACATCCCAGCCTCATCCAGGCTTACCCTCTGGAAAGGGTCCTTGCCTCCTCTCTTTCCTCACACCCTACCTCTCATTGGTAAAAATTCTGGATTCCTGTCCCAAAGCGGCCCCTTTCCTCTTTCCTAGTTTGTGACCTCTATGTGCATTTCTCTTTGCTTTTTTTACCTCTCACTTCTCATTCTTTTCTTCTTCAGTCGGCCTCCACAGTTACCTGTGAAAGTGCCAGTCTGTTGTCTCCCATAGAATTAAACCAGACTTCCTAGCAAGACACTCACTCAACGCTTTTCCATGGTCTAACACATGGCTAACCGCGTACACTCAGGACATGCGTTCGAATCCTACTCCGTCGCCCTATTGTGTGACCTAGGAAAAGTTACTTAGTCTCTTTCTGTCTTGGTTTCCCATTTGTAAAATGGAGTAACAGTCCCTACCTCAGGGGATTTTTTTGAAGATTAGATATATTAATATCTTGCTCTTGGAATAGTGCCTGGCACAGAGTAGGAGCTCTGTAAATGTGAGCTCTTGGTGTCGTCCTCACTGTCACCACTAGTCCCTGACCTACTGCTTCGGTCCTCATATCCTATTAAACAAACTACTCTGTGTCCCTCATACTCTGGGCATATCATTTTTGGGGCTCTTCTTTCCACAGTTTCCACACTGTGTGACTTCATAATTTAGCATCTCCAGAACCAGTTTCAGAGCCACGTCCTCCTTGAAGTATTTCCCCCCTACCCCGGGTCATCGTCATCACCCCCATCTCTGAGAAGACCCTACGAGGCCTCATGAGCAGGCAGTGCGACTGTGTACGGCCTGTGGGTGGCTTCTGTGGCTTTCACCTAAGGGTTTTCCCGCAGGGCCTGGGACACCAGAGGGCACCCGCTGGAGAGTCGGTCACCACAACCTGAAGCAGAGTATCCCCACCTGCCACCTACGGCCGGCCTGCGTGTGGTGCCCGCTGACTGCCATCTCTCCTGTGGTTTCAGATTACCAGCAGCCCCTCATGATTGGCACCGGGACAGTCACGAGGAAGGGCTCCACCTTCCGGCCCATGGACACGGACGCCGAGGAGGCGGGGGCGGGCGCCGACGGCGGCCACTATGACTGCCCGCAGCGGGCAGGCCGGCACGAGTACGCGCTGCCCCTGGCGCCCCCGGAGCCCGAGTACGCCACGCCCATCGTGGAGCGGCACCTGCTGCGCGCCCACACCTTCTCCGCGCAGAGCGGCTACCGCGTCCCGGGGCTGCGGCCTGGCCACAAACACTCCCTCTCCTCCGGCGGCTTCTCCCCGGCGGCCGGTGCGGGCGCTCAGGACCGAGACTATCAAAGGCCACAGAGCCCGCAGCCTTCGGACAGCGGCTACGACCTGCCCAAAGCCGCCGGCACCGTGGCCACCGAGAGCGGTCACCCTGACTCTCAGAAGCCCCCAACGCATCCCGGGAAGAGCTATTCCGCCCCCAGAGACTGCCTCACACCCCTCAACCAGACGGCCATGACTGCCCTTTTGTGAACACAATGTGAAAGAAGCCTGCCGTGGTACTGAGCGTCGGGCTGTCGCAAGGCACTGGAAGAAGGGAGCCTGCTGGTCCAGAGCGCGCGTGTGTGCGCGCGTGTGCGCGTGTGTGTGTGAGAGATTCAGTAGGATCCTAGAGACAATGTCTCATACTGTTTACAAAATTGTGCAGCTGGTTTCGTGCTGACCCTTAGGGTTGAGTCTGTTGGGTTTTGTTGGGCTAGAAAAATGAAAATTTTCAAATGGCGTTTTCATTCCTCTGACTGTGATATTGAGCTGCTTTGGTGTTAAAGGTGTAATCTACAGAGTTGTATTTAACAAGAATAAAAGTAACTTAAGTTTCCTCTATCAGATTTTAGTTCTGCACAGAAGTTAAGTGGGAAAATGCAGCTGTTGCAAAACGTATATAGATAGTGTGTTCATTTTTTTCAGTATATTATCTGAACTGTGTTAGCAGCAGGTCTGCTTAAACTTAATCTTGTTGTTATTGTGAGTCATTTCCTTTCATTTGATAACTAGAACTAAAAGCATTTTTAACATTCTTCTCCTGGAAGAAATGAATTACTTGAAGCATGAAAAGCACACCAGGGTGGTTGTTTATTTAGCAATTATGGTTGTAGATCTAGAAACAAGCAAAGAAACAGCACCTCCACAGCTGCCCTTTTCCTTAGACTCCACTTCAGAGGGGGATGCGAAGAGGTCAGCCCAGCTCCCATGACCATGAAGGTGGCACAGGAATTACAGTGTGAGTGGCTGTATCAGATGTTTTCGTACCTCAGATTAAAAATATTGCTGAGGTCAGAGGCCACACTTTTCATTACTTTCTTCAGAAGTAGCACATTTTTGTGACTTCTATTGTCCTCTGAAAAACAAAAAAATTATCTGGAACATGTTTATACAAAAGTAAGTCTGGCCAAGTCTAAATCAAGCTTTTCTGCTGACATGAAACTGTTGGAAACTGATCTGATTTTATAAGAAACGATTTTCCCCTCAAGGAGGCGTCTGTAATTCCAGAACAGCCCAGACCTCAGCTGTACCTCATGTTCAGTAGTTTTTATTTGGGTTTGCTTTGTGAGTTAACTATGGGGGATTTAACCTCTTTTGCCAAAGAGGAAAGTGTGTGTGTGTGTTTTTAATAGAATTTTTTTTTTTCCCTAAAGAATGTATTATGACCCTGTTTGTATGGTTATCACATCCTGTGAAATGTATATATGTTAAAATAGTGGGGTTCTAGAAGGTCATGGCAGACTAGCTGCTGGTTAGTGTGGAGGGTAAATGGTTTACTTTGTGGAGTTTACATGGTTTTATGTGCACACTAATTGTAATAAACTATGCCAAACCAAACTGCCCCTGACTCTCACTGGTCAGCCCTGCTCACTGGGGTGTTAGAGGCACTCAAGGCTCAGCCTCTGTGAAAAGGCAGGTGCCACAGTGGAGAGAGCAAGGGCTTGGTGCCAGCTGAGGCCAGACCCCAATCTACCACAGAAGAGTTGAGACGTCTTTGGCCGCTTATATAATGATGAGCCTTAGTTTCCTCATGTTTGAAAATGGTGTCGTTGTGCTTTCTTCCTCCAAAATTTACTGATAAAAATTAATTGGAACATTTATCAAAGTGTTTATTCTAGAATAGGTCTTTTTTCTAATGTAAACCTTCAGTGGGTTGTTTACAGAATTTTAACATTGGAATATTAGACCATAAGAACAGACTTAGGTCTACAGCACTTCTTTTTATTTATTTATTTATTTTTTTGAGACAGAGTCTTGGTTTGCCACCAGGTGCCAGGCTGAAGTGCAGTGGTGTAATCTCAGCTCACTGCAACCTCCACCTCCCAGGTTCAAGCAATTCTCCTGCCTCAGCCTCCCAAGCAGCTGGGACTACAGGTGCGTGCCACCATACCCAGCTAATATTTGTATTTTTTAGTAGAGACAGGGTTTCACCATGTTGGCCAGGATGGTCTCGATCTCTTGACCTTGTGATCTGCCTGCCTCAGCCTCCCAAAGTGCTGGGATTACAGGCAGAAGCCACCGTCCGGCTTACAGCACTTCTTTACAATGGAGCTGTCTTCATCTATCACAGTTCTTCTGCGATCTAATCATGACTAGTGGGAGAACAGGACTTTGTTTTGGATTGGCACTGCCTCAGGGTAGACTCATTGTATAGAACAGGTTGGATGAGTGGAAAGTTCTGATAAACCCTACACAATTAAACCTAAACTAGAGAATAAGGGCAGAAAAATATTACGTCTTTCTTTTCTGTTGTGTTGCAACATCAACACGTATGATAAGGCATGAATGAGACAATTTTCATTGTCTGATGTCTTTGGTGTTATCAAATCCTACTGGGAGGCAAAGCTTGTATTCTGCTACTTCTTAACATTTGTGGTTGAAACACATTTGCTATGATAAGCAAGACTAATACAGGCTCCTGAAACTTTGCGCTGGGTTTTATTGTTATTTAAATTTTCATTAACATTTATAATCAGCCTAGAAAATAGAAAGGATGTGAGAGATTGTTTTGTGTTTACACTGCTTTGGATTCTTAACAGAACATGAAATCACACTTACAGGCACAACTGTATACACCATGAATAGCTACAAGGCCTTTCTCCACTCTGACCAGTCACAGCAGTCCAAGTGTGGCCACCAGGTTGGCCTATTTCTAAAATGCTTGCATTTGTTCTTGCATCAAATAGTTACTAAGATTCTGAGAGCAATGTTCACCCTGTACTTGAGTTGAAAGAGAGGATGCCTAGTCCCTCCCCCAAATCTGAGAGCAGTTGAATCCCTCCAATGGGAAGGGAGGGTGAACACTGTCACTTACCCCAACCTGCAAGTATTTCCTGCCCAAAACACAGCCCATGCAGTCACCCCATGCCACACTGCACACCCCATTGCACCCACCCACACTGCTGTGTTCGTATCCCCCGTCTCCCACTGATCTCACGCATCCCAGCCTCTCCCTGTTCTGGGATAAATTCCCCCCAGAGGCTTTAAAGATTTTTATTTTGTCTTTGGTATTCTGCAATTTTACTACCATGTGTTCAGCTATGAATTCATTTGTATCCCCATTGCTCAGGGCATGTACCTCTTGAATCTTAGGATTTATCAATTGTGAAAATGATCAGCCCTCTTTTTTTTGTTGTTTTCTTTTTCTTCTCCTGGAAATCCATTTGGTTGCTCATTAAAGCTTCTCACCTTATCTCCCATATCTCTTATTCCCTAATATTTTTAAATCTTTTTATCTTTCTGTGCTGGGTTCTCGATAAATTCCTGAAAGACAATATGGCCTAGTGGTTGAGAGTACAGACTTCAGATTGCCTGGGCAAGAAGCTGTAACCTCTCAGTGGCTGTTTTCTTGCTTGTGGGCAAATCAATATTATCCACCTACCTATGGCTGTTGTCAAGATTAGGTGAAATTTTAAGAGCACTGGCCCACACAAAGCACTACATAAGTTTAAATATTATCGTCCAGTTCACTAATTCCCTCTTCTGTTATCTAATTTGCTGTTTAATTTATCTATCAAGGTTTTCAATTTCTTTTTTGATTTCTAGAAGGTCTGTTCTTTTTTGACTCTGCTCTTTTCCACAGTCTTGATTTTTTGGGGGCATTGATGCCTTCTTTTAATAATTTGAAACATACTAATTTGGTAATTTTTCTTATTGTTCTGTTGTCTTCACTTTAGAGGAAAAGCTGAGGTCTGTACAGTGGTTTATAGGGCTCTGTCAATGCTGTCCAATAAAGCTTTTGCAATAATGGAAATCTTAGCTCTGAGTTGCCTGATAGGGTAGCCACTAGCCACATGTGCCTATTGAGCACTTGAACTGTGGCTGGAGACACTGAAAAATAAATTTTTAATTTTACTTTTTATTACTAAATACAGGTGAGGAGCGCAGGCATTGCCTGTAAACCCTTGATTGCCCATCTTCTCAGGCTATCCTTCTGTAAATATCCTTTGTAAAACAGCAAGCCCATGCTGTTCCCAAGCGCTTGCACATTCTAACAGCTGCAGAGTACAGTATATGACCAGGTGGAAAGTTAGATCCCCCCACTCACAGGATCCCTGCAGTTAGTCTTCCTGCTCCCTCTTCCTATTGGCCATAGGTAAATTAGGCCTCCACAATTCTCCGGCTGCTTTCAAGTAACCTCGGAAGGCGGTGACTAAGACCCTTTCCTCGCTCCCAGCTTCCCGTGTCCCGGCTGCCTGCGGCACCCGGACTGCTCCTGCCCTTGGGTCCCGCACATTCCAGGGCAACGATGGAGGAAGGGCAGGCCAGGCCAAGCATGAGGAATGAACAGTCTTTACTGGGCTCAGACCAGGAGTCCATGGGTCTTGAAGATCTCTGTGAATTTGTCACTTTTCTTCTCCACATTCTTCTCAGCCTGTTTCCGTAGCCTCACCAGCTGTTTCTTCTTCTGGTAGTGGATCTTGGCTTTCTCCTTCCTCTCCTCCAGGGTGGCTGTCACTGCCTGGTACTTCCAGCCAACCTCATAAGCCAGGCGCCCCAGATAGGCAAACTGTCTTGTAGACTTCAGACGCATGACCTTGAGGGCAGCTGGAACCACCATCTGCTTTTTCTTGTCGTGGGGTGGTGGGATGCAGTCAAACACTTTGAGGCGCTCCAGGGCAGCCTGGCCTCGCTTGGTCTTGTAGGGCAGCATGCCTCTCACAGTCCACCAGAACATGCGGCTGGGGGCCCGGAAGCGGTAGGGTCCTCGCGAAGGGTTGGTGTTTATCCGCTTGCGGAGGAAAGCTAAGTACTTTAACTTGTTTCTGTAGAAGTTGCCAGAAATGTTGATGCCCTCACAGCGTACGACCACCACCTTCTGGCCCAGCAGTACTTCGTTAGTGACGATGGCCGCCAGACGCCCGGGAGAGGGCCTCAACCATTGAGCACCAGGACGTGCACCTCCATCTTCAGCAGCAGACTAGGAAAGCTATTTTTTATAGTTTTTTTTTAATTGATTTTGTTTTTTTCAGAGATAGGGTCTGACTATGTCACCCAGGCCGAAGTACAATGGCACAATTACAGCAGGCTCTAGCTCCTGGGCTCACGGGATCCTCAGCCTCCTTAGTAGCTGGTGCTACAGGCATGTATCACTACAACCTACTAATTAAAACAAAATGTAGAGATGGGGTCTCACTGTGTTGCCGAGGCTGGTCTCAAACTCCTGGGCTCAAGTGATACTCCTGCCTTGGCCTTCCAAAGCTCTGGGGTTATAGGCATGTGCCACTGCGCCCAGCCTAATTTTATTTTATTTAAATACAAATAGTCACAGGTGGCTGGTGGTTACTGTATTGAGTAAGACAAGTCTGTGACCTGTATCTCCAACAGGCCTTCACTTCCTCGACCCCCTCCTCTCCTACTGCTCCCCACCAATTCACCCCATTCCAGCCATGTGGGCCTGTTGGCTGTTTCTTGAACATGTCAGGGCACACTCATCTGGACATGTTTGTGCTTGTTCTGTCTTCCTAGAAAACTTCCCCTAGACATTTGTGTGGCTTTTTCTTTTGCCTCTTTCAAGTCTGCATTCAAATGTAACCTCCATGAGGCCTTCCCTCTGCCTGTCTGAAAACTGTGAGCTTCTCTAACAGGTTTTCTATCTCCTTTCCTGCTTAATTTTTCTCCTGAATATTTATCACTGTCTAATACAGCACATATTTACAATTTTTTTTGCATATTACGTCTCTCTCCCAGTAGACCACATCTCTTGGGGGAAAGAATTTGTCTCGTTTAGTCCCTGCATATCTCCAGCACCTAGAACAGTGTTCAGCGCCTGTTTGTTGAAGGAATGGTCAGAAGTTCTCGAGGCTCTATCCTGTTTGTTGTTTCTGTTGAATCTTGTTGATGATAGTTTGCTGCTTTGTATATTGAGCAGGTCTTGCTCTGTTGCCTAAGCTGGAGTGCAGTGGTACAATCAGGGCTTACTGCAGCCTTGACCTCCTGTGCCCAAGTGATCCTCCCACCGCAGCCTCCTGAGTAGCTGGAACCATAGGTGTGTGTCACTACACCTGGTTAATTTTTAAAATTTTCTGTAGAGATGGGGTCTCCCTGTGTTGCCCAGGCTGGGCTCAAACTCCTGGGCTCAAAGTGATCCTGTCACCTTGGCCTCCTAAAATGCTGGAATTATAGGGTGAGACACCACACCTGGCCTGTATTTGAAAATTTTTGATGTGAGCCCTTCCTTAGTGGGTCTTTTTCCTCCCTGTAAAAGTTTAATGATATTGTCCTTTCTTAGTGGTTTTGCATTTGCATCTGTTAGTGACACTAGGTAGGATTGCAGTTAAAATACAGGGTGTCTTGTTAAACTTGAATTTCAGATAAATAATTTTTTGTGTAAATATGTTTTATGCAATATTTGGGACATATTTGTTGTAAAAATTTGTGTCCTGCATTTTTATTTCCTAAATCTAGCAACTCTAATACTAGGAATATTGTCAGCCCTGCACCAGTTTTTATTTTTTAGATTCGTCATTTCTAGATTATGCCTTGTACTGAAAATTTAGGTCCAAACCTTTGTGGAGCACAAACCTGAGATTTTAATATCTTGAGAGATGTTTCTCTTTTCATCCAGGGCCCATTCATCCTTTGTTTTCTATTTTATCGGGCAGATTTTTTAAGGCTCACCCTTTCACTGTTTCAACTCCCTGCCATGCTCACCTCAAAAGCTTGTCTCCTGTCTCTTCATGGAGGATAAATTCCCAGCATTGAAGTAACTGAAGCCACTCCCCTACCTTCCCTCACCCCAGGATACCTAGGGCATCAGCTCAAGTGCTTATCACTGTTTTTCTGTCTCTTCCTTCCCTTTATTTCTTATGAGATTAGCTAGGCCTTGTAAAGAATTCTGATTTATTTGGTCAGACATTCCTAGGAATTAATAGCAGACAGGTTTTCATCTCATTTAGTCTGCCATCTTGCTGGAATGATGCCTCTCCAACAGGCACAAGAAAGCATATTTATTGAAAATAGCAGGCCAGGCACAGTGTCTCACATATCCCAGCACTTTAAGAATCTGAGACAGGTTGATAGCTTCAGCCCAGGGGTTGAGGCTAACGTGGGCAATGTAGTGAGACCTCCTCTCTACAAAAAAATTAAATTAGCCAGATGTAGTGGTGCAAGTCTGTAGTCCCAGTTACTGGGGAGGGGGGAGGATCACTTGAAACCAGAAGGTGGAGGTTGTAGTAAGCCAAGATCATGCCACTGCACTGCAGCCTGGGCAACAGAGAAAGACCATGTTTTTTGTTTGTTTGTTTATTTTTTTTTAATAAAAAGAAGATAAAATAGCACAGGTTTGTAATCATAGAACTTGGGATTAACTGGGGATTTAATCTTTGTAAACTATGTGATTGCAAGCACCTTAGTGGTGCTTTCTAAAGCTACCTCTTTATCCCCAGAGTGGAAATTATTATAAAAGGGCTATTGTGCGGACTATATTATAGTGTTTTGCATACATTAGATGATCAGTAAATATTTGCTCCTTTTCTCTCTGCCCAATCTGGAGTCATCCAATACCATTTCCCTTAGAGTCCTTTTTATTTTTCAAGTGGAGGCTGTCTGTTCTCCCAACCAGTGAACTTAGCTATGGCCAGGAGGCAGCACACACCCTCCTCCCTCCTCAAAGACCAATTCCACATCTTTTCCCACTCTTTCACCCCCACTCAAAGCTCTGTTTTCTCTCACCTAGCCCTACCACCTTTTTCTTTTTGCTGTGACACTTAATATCTTCCAAGCCACTTTCTTCCATTCACTGAGGACATTCACCTAATTCCAGTTCTTCATTTCTCCTTTGTAATCATGCTGGAGAATAAAGTGCCCAACGTGGTCATTTTTATGGTTTCTTGACTCCACTCTAGTAATCTCTACTCCATTTAAACCACTCCCAAACACGTCCACATTCTTGTCATCAGCAAGAACTCCAGCACTGTAAACCTAATCTCCAGTAATTCCCTCTCAGCTCAAAACCCCTGAGTTCACCTTTTTACCTACTTAGTCACTGATCTCATTTAGATACCTAACCCCCAAATCCCATCATTTTCCTCTAGCTGTTAATCTTTTTAGGTTGCATTTCCTTCCCTATCCATCACTGAAATGTTTTGTCTCAGCATTTTCACTCCATTTTCTTTCCAGGAGCCCCAAACCATGAGACCTCAGCAACATAATTCCCCTTGAAAATACCATCTCTCCTTTATCACAGCAGCAGGGGAACACTACAAAACTATTTACACTGGGGCTGTTACAAAGTTCGGTTTCCAGTTTACTGGGGGCCCATCATTTCCTCAGTGCTTGTTTATCTTTGATCCCTTTTTCCATACCCCTCAGTTATTATTCCAAAGCAGTGCTACTTTTCACACTCTCCCTTACTCTGGTCTTCCCACTTCCTTCACCTTAAAATAAAAGTAATTAAAATCAAAACCAACAACTTCCTGTTGATTCCTCTTCCCACAAAACCTGTATCGCCGGGCGCGGTGGCTCAAGCCTGTAATCCCAGTACTTTGGGAGGCCGAGGCAGGTGGATCACGAGGTCAAGAGATCGAGACCATCCTGGTCAACATGGTGAAACCCCGTCTCTACTAAAAATACAAAAAATTAGCTGGGCATGGTGGCGCTTGCCTGTAATTCCATCTACTCAGGAGGCTGAGGCAGGAGAATTGCCTGAACCCAGGAGGCGGAGGTTGCGGTGAGCTGAGATTGCGCCATTGCACTCCAGCCTGGGTAACAAGAGCGAAACTCCGTCTCAAAAAAAAAAAAAACAAAAAAAAAAAACCTGTATCCAGTTCATTCCTTTCCTCCTTCCTTTCTGCAGCAAAGAAAAAAGTGTTTTAAATGCTCACCTGTGATCTTAAATCCCACTGCCTTCCGCTTATCTCTTTGCTCCAATTATCCCTTTTTCCTTTATCTTCTTCTCCTTTTCATTGGTGATCTCCCTCTCAGCCTTTAAACTTCTTCAAATCTCTCCCAAGTATAAATAATTCTCCCTTAGTATCCTAAGCCCTTCTAATTATCTCTCGTCTTTATTCCAAGAGTGATATCTTCTTGAACTTTTCATATGCCTTATTTCCCATTCATTCCTTTTTTAATGTAGTTTTTAGTCAGTTATATAGGTACACAAAATATAGTATCCCTTTCCATTTGTTCAAGCCCCTTTTGCATCCTTTCAGGGGATTTTAAAGGGTGCTCACATAAATACTGCACATTTTTTGTTTAACTTAGGCGTTTTTTTGTTGTTGCCACCATTGTAAATTGTCCCCACCTCCTCTTTTATATATCAAGAACCAGGATGGCTTAGTGGTAAAAAGCATGGATGCTGGGGCTATGCTGCCTGGGCTCAAATTCTGCCATAGTTGTGACCAAGAAGGACTTCCTTTCTATGACTCCATTTCCTTATTTCTGAATGGACATAGTAACCCATAAGGTTGTGGTGAAGATGGCAAGGATTAATATATGTAAAACCCTTACAACAGTGCCTGACCTGTGATAAGTGCCATGTGGTGTTAGCTATTATATGCAGTCTTCCTGTTTGATTTCTAGGAGCTAATGTGTATGCTGCCCCTTTACTAAATGTCCTTATTTCTAGTAGCTTTTAGTTGATTCTCTTAGTTTTTTCTGGAATTTGATCATAAGGTTTGCAAATAGTGCTAGTGCTATCTCCTTTTTGATATTTATGTGTACACTTAATTCCATTGGCAATACCTCCAATACCATATTAAATACTTCTAGTAGCTCCCTTCTTAGCATGATGCTGGCTTTTAGGCAGAGATAGATTTATTATGTTGATGTGAATCTTATTATGTTAATAAAGCATCCATTTTTTTTTCCCCTCACCAGGAATGTGTTTAATTTTGACCAAAGCCTTTTCAGCATTTATGGAAAATATTATTTTCCTCCATAGGGCTCTTTCCTGGACCCAGTCAGATGACTAATTATATAATTAGATGTCCCAATGTTAAACATTTGGTTATAGTATATGAATCCATTACTGTATTGAATTTGCATGGATAGCATTTTACTTAGGATTTTTACATTAATATTTTGTGGTCTGGGCGCAGTGGCTGATGCCTGTAATCCCAGCACTTTAGCAGGCTGAGGCTGGCAGATCACAAGGTCAAGAGATGGAGAGCATCCTGGCCAACATGGTGCAACCCTATCTCTCCTAAAAATACAAAATTAGCTGGGCATGGTGGTGCACGCCTGTAGTCCCAGCTACTTGGAAGGCTGAGGCAGGAGAATCACTTGAACCCAGGAGGCGGATGCAGTGAGCTGAGATTGTGCCACTGCACTCCAGCCTGGCAACAGAGCAAGACTCAGTCTCAAAAAAAAAAAAAAAAAATTCTTTTGTGAATCAGGGCGTTTGTTTTCTTTCTTTGTAGCAATCTTGGCCAGATATTATTAGCTTGACAGAAACAATTTAGACTTTTTCTTCCTTTTTTGTTCCCTTGCTAGGCATTAGAATTATCTGTTGTTTAAAAGTTCAGTAGCATTGCCCTGTGAAACCATGTATTTTGGAAATTTATGGGGAGAGCACTTTGACAACTTCTTCTATGTTTTCTATGGAAATTGGTTTGTTTAGATTTTAAAACTTCTAGCCAGGCGTGGTGGCTCAGGCCTGTAATCCCAGCACTTTGGCCTCCCAAAAGTGGGGAGGTTGAGGTGGGAGGATCACCTGAGGTCGGGAGTTTGAGACCAGCCTGCCCAACATGGAGAAAACCCATTTCTACTAAAAATACAACATTAGCTGGGCATGGTGGCAGATGCCTGTAATCCCAGCTACTTGGGAGGCTGAGGCAGGAGAACTGAACCCGGGAGGTGGAGGTTTTGGTGAGTCGAGATCAAGCCATTGCACTCCAGACTGGGCAACAAGAGCAAAACTCTGTCTCAAAAAAAAGAAAAAAAAGAAAACTTCTTTGGGAGCAGTTTTGGTAAATTACATTTTCCTAGAAAGTTTTCAAATTTATTCCTACAGAATTGAACAAAGTAGTCCATTATTGTCCTTTTAGTTTTCTCTTTTGTGGGTATTTCTCTCTTATTTCTTATTTTGTATATTTGCATCTACTCCTTTTTTTCATGACTAGTTTAGCCAACAGTTTGCCTTTTTCCTTTGAAAAATCATTTTTTTTTTTATTTTTGTAGTTACTTCTACTGTTTCAGAGGCCAACAACCCATTTATTACTGCCTTAGGCAGAGCTTAAAAATGCCTTCAATCATGGTGAAGATGACAGTAGAGTGCACCTAGTGAGACTCACACAGCCTCAAATGTCACAAAAGGACACAAATATTCGTGTTGCCATATTGCTTCCTAAAGAATATGGAGACAATATGCACACAAGCAAGAGATAACTGATTCCATAGGTATTTGGTGGGGGCAGGGTAATGCTATAGCCTTGATGATCTAGAAATCTACTGTGTAATTCTAGGAGTTCTCTCATTCTACAGCCACTCACCTACAGCCAAATAGCTTCCTGTGAAGTTCAAACCTAGCACAATCATCATTTTTAGAAATCAAAACTGTATCAAACCTAGGCTCCATTAAACCTTGAACCCTTTAAGAAAAAATTTTTTAAATTCTACTGCAGTTGACAAGCATGGAAAAAAATAAAAATAATCATTGGAAGAGGAAGACCGAAAGCTGACAATTTCATCTATATTTCCCTTTTCTTTCTTTGTTGCCTATTAAAGTAGAATTAAGATAGGGATTTGAGTTTGGGCTCAGACACTTACTGTCTGTGTTACTCTGGAAAAGCCAGCCTTCGATTTATTTATCTTCATAGGAGTATTTTATCTGATGATTTTCAAAAAGCATTACACCGCTAATAAAAGTAAAATTACTAATGAATTTGGAATCTTCTGCCCCCTGCTGGCAATTTACCAAATTGCAAATTCTACCTTTCTAACGCATAGAATCCAAGTTTTAGTGTCGGCCTATATTTTATCTAATTTTCCTTGTTATAGTCCATTACCTACCTTCCTTTTTAAAAACATATTTTTTATTTTTATAGATTTTGGGGGTAGAAGTTCAGATTTCATATATGCATATATTACATAGTGATGGAGATTGGGCTTTTAGTGTACCCATACCTGAATAGTGAACATTATACCCAATATGGAATTTTTCAACCCTCACCCCCTTCTTACCCTCCCATCTTCTGTAGTCTCCAAAGTCTTTTATTCCACTCTGTCTCCATGTGTACCCTTTGTTTATCTCCCACTTGTGAGAAATGTGGTATTCGACTTTGTTTCTGAGTTAGTTCACTTAGGATAATGATCTTTAGTTCCATCCCTGTTGCTGCAAAAGACATGATTTCATTCTTTTTTCATGGCTGAATAGTACTCAATGGTATATATTGACCACATTTTCTTCATCCAGTCATCCACTGGTGGAAACTTAGGTTGATTCTGTACATCTTTGCTATTGTGAATAGTGCTGTGATAAACATACAAGTGCCAGCATCTTTTCAATGTAATTTCTTTCTTTCTGTCTTTCTTTGGGTATATGCCCAGTAGTGGGATTGCTGGCTCAAATGGTAGTTCTAATATCTTCCTACTTAGAAGCCAGAGGTATTTCTTTTACAACCAAATGATCTCTTAACTTAAAACTTTAAATCAAGCTTGGGTTGTTCAAATCTTCCTTCTTTCCTAATTTCCCTGAAAGTTTTGTTGCAATCTCCCACTATGATGACAGATTTAACTTTGTAGTAAATTAAGAATTTAAGTAACCTCTATCTCTAGTGATTTTTTCCTTAAAGTCTG